TGGTGCTACCGCAAACCTACTTTCTATTACATGCCTTGCTTGTTGACTTTCTTCATAAGTTTGTAAATAAGCACATTTTAGGTTTGAGATGGATCCCACCAGACACTTAAAGTGAGTTACCATGTTCATTATCATTGGCAAAAATTGATCCCGACATGTAAACTGTCCTCACTTCGACTTAGTTTGGCTGTACAACATACATGTACATTTAGTTTTGCTGGTACTCAGAGTTTAAAAAAATGCACCTGAAACAACTTACATGTACATGTTTTATCATTGGCGCAAGTAAAAATGGCTCTATCACCATTATATAAAAACATAAACTTGGTGGCGAAGCAGTACATGTAGCTGGTTTGGTTTTCCACATGTGAATGCTACAATCTACATGGAAAGTCTCTCCCCTTGTGTGGGGAAGTTGGTTGTTTTATCCCAAACTTGTGGATGATCAACCAATCAATTACTGACTCGGAGAATTCATTTTCAGTTTTGTAAACAACATACATGTATTTGTAGGAGACGATCTGGCACATTTCTAAGCGAGCACTCATTGGATCAGATTCCCCAGGAGATTAAGGTATTTATGAACAACTTTATACACTGTACATGTAGCACGTTCCTGACTGTTTCTCGAGGCACATTCATATTGTGCGTTGTAATATAATCCATCTTTATTCCATAAAACGTACAAGTACAGGTAACAATAGAAATGAAGTATTAAGGAGAGGAATGAATAGTTGGTATACTAAAGATAAATGCTGTTACATCTGAGCGACTACAGTACACATCCTCAACAGGAAGGTTACATGTACAGTACATTCAAATTCGTCAAAGTACCTGGCACCAACCTACGCCACCTATTATATAATCGTGGTGCGTCTGCAGGTCTGCCCAACATGCACATCCCTGCGACCTTGAATTTAGTTTCTTTCTCATTTTTGCCTCTATTGCTAAGTACTAAGTGTTTGTTTTATAGTTCATCATATGGATACTTCAATCAATGTAACTCTTGCAGCCTAACACTGTCGTCAACTAGTGAGAAATTTCTGTTTTGAATTCGTTCAGTCAATCAGCGCCATATCGTCACCACGTTTGTATACAGCTATGCACACGTACTCTATGCCATTTTACTAAGGCTTGGGGTGATCAACGACATCGATGCAACTGGTACCCTGCAGTATGATTTAGGTGACCCCCAGTGCACGAACTACATGTATGTGCTGGAACCTACTGAATATGGCAGCCAACGCCCGTTACCCCAGGAACTGACTCCGTTATATTAAACAAGAACTTGTTGCCTTGAAAATAGGAGACAACAAGTTTAGACTTTTCAGCAATGTATGGCTTACCTTAAAATCACTTAACCTCTGTAAATCCAAGAAAACTAAATGTGGGTGCAGAGCTGGAAAGCGCTGCAAAAGACAGATTTGCGTTGCGTTGGGTCATTGCAGATCTGAAACCACCACCCAACATGGCAGCCTTGAGGCTGGCGTGAATCCAGCGAAGAGGCTGGCGTGAATCCAGCGAAGAGGCTGGCGTGAATCCAGCGAAGAGGCTGGCGTGAATCCAGCGAACTTAATCCTGGTAAGACCATCATCTACTCAACCTAAATACTGCCCGTCAAAATCCCAACACCACTCCCTCGATGATTTTAGTCAATGCTCGCTCACTAGTCCAACACATTGATGACATAGATATAGAGCATTTGACAGGAATTATTTTGGTATTCCTACCTACACTCTCCAGAGCAGACCTCAAAGAGATAGAAGGAATGGTGGAGTTGCATTGTATGTGAAAAATGATATCCAAACCCAGAGCTTGACTGATATCTCAGTTCCTGTTGAACTTGAGGTTTTATGAGCTTGGGTCCATCCCCGGCGTCTCCCACGCCCCTTGAATGGATAGATATTGTGTATTGTATATCATCCCCCTGCATCTCTTCAAGATTTACCGGTACTACTCATTAATCAAATCAACTGCACTGGACACCCTGCTTACCAAGTGCCCTGGAGCAGGCATAGTTGTTCTGGGCGATTTCAACAAATTGGACACCGACATATTATATTGTCTTTCCAGCCTCGTGCAAGTTGTCAACACCCCTACAAGGTGTCAAGCCACTCTTGACTAAATCCTCACAGATATCCAAGTGCATTATCAAGAGCCTCAATTGTCATCACCATTGGGACACAGCGACCACAAAACTGTGATCTACAGACCTTTTATCCCAGAACACAAGAACAATGTAATTTATAAAAAGGTGGTTCGGCCTATTAGGGACTCTGACAAAATAACCTTTGGCGAATGGATTTGTAACTATGACTGGTCAGACATCAAAAAACTATGTCACCTAAGTCCAAAGCGACTGCTTTTTATACTACATTAGCAGATGCTGTTGACCAGTATTTCCCAACCAAAACAACATCAGCACATAGTGATGACAAACCTTGGCTGTCTCCTAATCTCAAATCGTTCATTATTCAGTCAGCCAGCCTACCATCGTGGTGATTTCTCCTTATGGAGATTTTTACAAAACAAAGTCATCAGATTGATTAAACGTGCCAAAGAATGCTTTTACAAGCTGAACATCAGCCGGTTGAAGAAATCTAACCCACGACAATGGCACCAGCAAATTCAAAAATTAACTGGGAACAACGCCCGTAAGCAGCTGTCCATACCAGAGCTGTCTTTGTTTGAAGCTGCAAATGAGGTCAACTGTCGCTTTATCTCTGTAGCTAAAGACATACTTTAACTGGATTTAAGCCAGATATCTGCTTACCTCCTAGCACGTACATGTAGGCCTGTCCACTCCATTTCCCAGAAGATGTGAACAACGGGCTTATGAGACTGAATTTGAACAAGAGCGGCAGTCCAGACAGGTTTTCTCCACGCCTCATAAAGGAATTTGCTTATGAGCTTTACTTCCATTAGCTGAGATATTTAATTTCTCTCCTGAGGCCGGAGTTGTACCGGACATACATGTATAGAAAAGAGCCATTGTGATTCCTGTTCCAAAGACACAACCTCTAAACATTGATCAACTACGTCCAATTTCCCTCACATGTTTTTTGCAAAGGTGTTTGAGGATTTTGTTGTTAAGTGCATAATTACCAATATTAATAATTTGCTGGTTAATTATCAATTTGGGTCGTTGAAGGGATCTTCAACTACGCATTGCTTGGTTAAACTAATTGATGATGTAAGCAGGGAAATGGATAAACCTAAACAATCTGGTGTAGTTGTAGCTACCAATTCCTTGAAGGCATTTGAGAGAGTCAGTCACCAAATTGTTATCCAGAAGTTCATTGATCTAGGTGTGCGGCGGTCGATCATACATGTACCTTGGATTTGTGATTTTTTGTCAAACCGTTTGCAAAGTGTTCGCCTTGCTAGTACTTTGTCCGATTGGCAAACTATTAATACAGGAGTGCCACAAGACACCAAGATTGGCCCAAATGCCTTCTTGGCTATGATGAATGACTCTAAACCAGCCACTGCTGAAATATTTC